TTGCATATGTGATAGTGCTTCACTACACAATTATGTCGCATAAAAAAGGAACCAAATAAAGTTTCGGCTCAGTTTCACTCTCTCCCTCGCCCACTCTCAAGCTTGCTCGCTCTGTTTCTCTTAGTGGAAGAGAAACGGAGCGTATATATATACATATATATAAATAAATAAATAAATAAATAAATAATAGATTAAATTATAACATTGCACTAGAATAAGACCTACTTCATTGGAACATGTCCACGAGACAGCCAGTGCTTAATGGCCTGCCATTTATTTAAGACTTTCCTAAATGTCAGTGCTTGCTTGATGTTCCCCTTGTTTAAATGATCATTTTTTCTGCATGTTTTAGCCCTTTGACAACTTACATATGTACTATACATTACTACCAACCATTTTCCAAGGCACACAATACTTACATTTGAGAGTATTCAACTGATTTTCTGTTAATACCAGGATTTGTTAGTCATCCAGTTTTTTTACCTGGCACAGACGTCTATTCTGCTATGCGGACGCCTTCAGATGTGACTGACAGCTCAAAAGAAACACAAGAACTATAACACGGAAGACTGCTACCATTTGTTCCGATAGATATTTACGTCTTCGTATCCATGTCACACCGCCTATGATTGCTTTCAGGTTTACAATTTGTGAGTAAACTTTGGAAGGTTTTCACAAAGTCACTGTATTCATTCAACTAAATCCCCACCATGGACATACAGTCTGTGATTACCACACAACAGTAATGTTAGACAAAAACACACGCGTGCAGGATCTTCTTTGTAATTAATCGCCTTTGTGAAGCTTGTGAAGCTTCGAGCCTTTATGTGCTCGTACTGTACTGAGGTTAATGGAAAGCATAACTGCATTTAAACATCTGAAGTACAGTATGTTTTAGAAAATGGTCAGCTGTAATATAAAATATATGTACAGTGTAGCAAATGGGACAAACACACACACACAAAAACAAAGAAAAAAAAAACCCGATACAGCCCTTTAAGCTGCCCTCTTAATTTTGCTAAGCCCTGCTTCTGTATAAATTCAAGCATTCATTAAAAATACTATCAGTACTGTGCATACATTTCAAGACAGTGCATACAGGATTACACTTTGACAACTCATGATATGTAAAATTCAACTCACCGTCTGCAAACATAAGAAAGCAGTAGGAAATGAAAAAAAGAGCAAAAACAAGCAAAATAGACAAAGCATTCATGACAGCATGACATTTTACTACCACTGGTTTTATGGCTACTTCTCCTAACACATCAATGTCTTGTACATTTAAACTTGTGACACTACACTTTAGTTACTCAGCCTTGTTTGATAAACAGAAATGGGGTGGTCTACATATGAACATCAAAATGAAAAGCAGACTGTGACAGCTACATAACTGACTGACGACACAAACAAAATTTACACAAATGACCCAAAGTATTAGAAAAGCACCATAGCACGGTGTGTGGCCGGCCAAAACTTAATCGTTTACTTCGCAGTCTACGTGCTTCCAGAAACCTAGCGCACTCCTCTCTATGTGGCACATACAGCTATGTGATAACTGTGCTGGAGGTGCATTTTAGACAGAGCTTACCTTTAAGGGCAATAACTTTGCTGGCAGGGTTCATGATGGCGCTGTCTGCAGAGATGGGCCTGCGGATGGGATTGTTGGGGTCGGCCATGTCGATGATGACCACCTGCGCCTGCTCACCCACTTTCTCTCTTATACAGATGAACTTGTCGGACTCCATGGTGAGGGTGCTGAATCCAATGTTGGCTGGGTTGATTCCCAGGTTCTGGAGCTGAGATATGAATGCATGACCTGTTTTAGTAGCAGCTCCTGGCCAACACTGTTTACTACAAAACACGTCAAGGGTGATTCAGTACAACAGTTCTTTCCATTGTGGCCCTTTGTGGAAAGACAGCGGATAGGCAGGAGTCCAACTGACCGGGGGGACATCATATTATCCACGAAACTGACACAAGTAAAAAAATTAATAAAATAAAATGAAAAAAATTTATAATTTTACTTTCTTTAAAAAGTTTATTAGGTTAAAACAAATAATTGTTTTGCATTATACTGACAAGCGTTTCTTTTGTTTTGTCCGCCCTATTTATAATCAATTACTAGGCTTTATAACAGATATCCCTCTCTGTACAAGGGAATACAGCTCAACAGCCACAAAGCACATCCTCCAAAATGATAATCAACACTTCTCTAAAAGAGTTTCAACAAAAAACGGAACATTACAACCTTCATGAGACAGGATTTATAGCACGGCTGTTTATTGGACTAAATTAGTTTTATCTAGGGTACCATGAGTCTGTATCATCCCTTGGCAAAAGGTCATCCAAGGTGCACGGTCCTATTATGAAAACTGTCTCTGGTGGAGTTCAGTCTTGAATTTAAGGTTTTAGTGGGAACACTAAGCACACTAATAATCCCGATCAGTCAGACAGACAGCTCCCAGCTGAGCTGGAGTCTGACTGATCAATCTCCAGCTGCTAAAATATGATGCATGAGACACATAACATGTCACTTCTGACTGAATGGGTGGTCCTGGTTCATGTCGGAAGCTACACGTTTCACGGTTACAAACACCTGTCTTGCAGAATAAGCGCACGGTCTCCCTTCAGCTGTAAAAACACACTGTCGTGACATAACCTTATTGTATTCATGACGCAAAACCACCACGGCTTTACAGCTCCGAGCTAATTCATCCCCGACACACCAGTCAGTAACACCACGGCTTCATCACAACAACCACACTGGGATTCTGCGATATATATATATAACGTTATATAAAGAAAACGACAGCCATCCCGGCGATACACGTTGATATTATCCACGACTGAATATCTTGCATAGCTACGATTAGATGACGTGACTCAATCATCCCTCACGACACACACACACACACACGGTTAGTGAATAGCTAATGTAACACACGTTAGATAACCTAAATGTGCCGGTAGAACCGGAGCCTGAAGGTCAGCACTAGTGTTTAATGTCAGCTGGTTTGTGAACCTATCGGTGGTTGAGAGCCGCCTGGGTAACAGCATCAGTGCAATGAATGAGCTGGTTGTGAGCTGGTCGTTAGCTGGTGGCTAACCGGGGGAGGGGAGGTCATTCATTCGCTGCGGGTATTGACGTTTAACGTTAGCACAGCTAGCAGGCTGTCAAAAGACCCTTAACCGGAGAAATACACAAATAACGCGGGTGCTGACGTTTACAAAGGCTACTGGGTTTGCCCACATACCTGCAGGTGCTCCTGGAAGCGGATAGGCAGGATTTGAGCCATGGTGGTTTCCTTGAGCTTCTCCGGAGTCCTGAATTATTATCGCCGTGCAGCTAGCTGGCTAGGCAGTAGCGCCGCGCTAGCTACGACCTCCTCACTGTGTAGGTCGGAGCCAGTCAGTGGAAACGACGAACAAACACGACGAAAAGGTCGTCTGCGGCGTTGTTAATCGTGTTTCCGTAATGTGGAGTCAGTAAAAATGTCGGATATATCCCCCTTCTGTGTGTGCTTTCTGCACTGCATCGATGATGATAGCAGTGGCTACGGCTGATCTTCCGTCCAAAATCCGCAATGGCGGCGGAAACGGCTCAGAGCCGGAAGCATGTAGGGAGCTCTGGGAGGACACTGCTCTGGGTGAGGGATGGGGATCATCACTTTTAAGCTTTTTTCCCCCTATTTGAGCGAAATAATGCAATTTGTTCCGTGTTTTTTTTCCTTTTTACTCTTGGCAGCTTCCGATTGTAGCGTGTTCTCCTTAAAAACCAACTCATAATTAGCCCATGTACGTCAGTTCCGTTACAAATTAGTAAACTACATTTTTTTTTTTAATCCATAACATCATATTTTAAAGCTTTAGTCCAACTATTTACCCTTTTAGAGAACAGATTAGTATGGGGAAATGCATACAAGCAAACGGTCAAATGTAGTAAAACCAGTGCATTAAAATAATAAAGATATTCAGTCTGCACATCTTTGTCTTGAAGGTAGAATTCAGTCCTGAACCACATAGCTGACATTTTTAATCAAATATGGTGAAATAATTATTGAATTAAATCATTTTATTTTCATTTTTTTAATTTTTCTTTCAAATCTCTCTACTAAACAGTTTGGATTTCAGAGCAAGGACGTTTGTGCATTTCAGCCCCATAGTTCATAAAATGTCACCAGTGTGAATTCAAATAAATCTTACAACAGGATGCAAAAGATGACTCAAGACAAAGTAATGCATTTTTCAAGAAGCAGCTGTATTCGACTATAAAGGCATTTCTAATCCAGTGTCTCTAAGCTGTTTTCTTAATATTTCAGTGTAAAAAGCCTAGACTCTATTAGAAAAAAGAAATAGTAAACCCAAAATAACATTTCATAAGAAAACAATCATTGAAAAAAAAAAAAAGAAAAGGAAAACAAAATCCCCATTCACCAGTCATTTCAATTAAAATAGAAACACCATTTCATTTTTGCTAACATTTTCCCTCAAAACAAATATATATTTTCCATATATATATATATATTTATATATTTATTCTCAAGGCAGTTGGTCGTGGCCAAATTATTTGACCTCATCATGGCCATTTTTCATGTTTCAAAGTTAGAAAACATAGCTAGAATGGAAGAAAATAACTAGCAGAAGCACAGTGTAAGACCACTGCACTGGCCAACAAATATTTCATTTTGAGTGAGAGGGAATAGTCTGTCAAGGCAGTGTGGCATACAGACACACTTCCTCTGGAACAAGTGCAATGCAAAGAAAATAAATTTCTCACACATCATAAAACTACAACACACTCCCCTTTCACAGCACTCAGGTTGTCCATCAGATTCCCTTTGCTTGTCTCCTCTTCCTCCAACTTCTCTATCTTGCAGCAGTGAAGGCCTGTGTTGTGCTGTTTTAGTTCTTGGCCATTGCTGGGAGCTCAAAGTCCACTTGTAGGAGAGACACTGCAGTAGTCAGGGAGTTGGAGTCTCCGTCCTCGATTATTGTCGTTTTTTTTCACCTCCAACTACCATTAGAGACAATAACCTACTAGCAGAAGTCTGAACTGAACTATCTGTAGCAGTGTTTGAGGTTGAACAATTGTCTGCCGACTGACAAAGACAGAAAAAAAAAAGATCCCAGCATGCCAGCATTTTGCTATTACAGTAAAAATGTGACCAATACGTTGTCCCTGAATACTGAAGAGTGCTCTATCAGTAAATGTTGCGTCTGATAGCAGAAGGGAGAAGACACAAGTAGCGGGATTTATGCAGAAAAGAGGGTTATGATGAGTGTACATGATGACGAATTGGAAGAGCAACTGGGGCTGTAGCTATGTGCTCTGAATTGGTTCAGATGAACAGAACACAAAGAGGACACGAGGGGACGGGATGAACGAACACGGGAGAGATGGGATAGATGGGATAACCGCTGCATTGTTAGTGACTGATCATCAAAAGTGGCGGATTGGCGACATGAGGAGGTTCCCTGGGTTACCATTTACATGAAGTGTATATGCATGATGTACACACAAGCAAGTATGCTCACATGTATTTGTGTAAGAAAGAGAAAATGTGTAGGAGAAAAAGAGAAATCCCTGGGCTACATGGGAGGGCGCAGTGGAGGAGAGGTCCCAGTGGGCCTCAACCACCTCCATCTATCACATCCCTCCGTTACACCTGACACTCTGCAGAACTATGTGCTTCTCTTTTGCAGCTCCTGAACGAAGGCTGCGGAGGGGGAGCGGAGAAAACAAACATTAGGTACCTATAATACAATAATATTGCAGAAAAAAAAACATTTAGGAAGTAAAAAGTAATCTAACCTCCAATAATTTCCTCCTTGACTTTTTGTAGTTCTTTCCGCACTTCCTCCAGGATCTCCTGCAGAATATGGATTGACAGACAGTCAGTCGGTCATGGTAACAGTGGTTTAGCACTTACCAGGTAGTAACCAGGGTACTTTCTCTACATACATGACAATCACAAGAAACAGCTTACTGTAGAAAACCGACTGTAACCCAGTTACTTAAGTGCATATAATCACACTCATTCAAGTTCATCTCTTTCGATCAAGAATTGATGTTGCCGAGTAATACCTGTTTCATTTTCTCTAAATCCGAGTCATCCATTCCACCTGCATCGTTACTGTTGCCTGCAGGCTTCCCCCTGCGAGAAGGCAAGAAAAAAAGACAAATATTTTTTGATTGCGTTTCACAAAAAGCCAAGAAGAACCATGGCGCTGCCTTGACAGACCGACTGTCAGTTGAGCTCACCACCATAGCACCCAAGGGATGAAGGTATAGGGAACAGAAATGTACTCACACCCAGAGATGCAATAGGAAGTAACATAACTTGATTTTGCATATGTACTGGTTGCAACTTATCTACCTTTTAACCACAAAAGTTGCAAGCATATGCTTTAATCACAGTATACAGACAAGACCAGCTACACCACCAAAGACATCTTTAAAAATAAAAAGGAGTGTCAGAATGTGGTAAGGTTTACCACTAGAGGACAGCATCAACCCCCAGCGCTCAGAAGTGACGTGTAAAAATAATAAATGAATCACACCAACAGGCTTCTATCTTATTATAGAGTTTTCAGAGGTAACACACTCAGCCGGTACATCCAAGTCCCTTGAGTGCATGTCATTCTCTGATCCATTAGATTGTGCTATCAACTGTAAAATAAGCTACCCCAGTACGTAGGTAGCAGAGATGCTGTGCACACCTAAAGAGAAAAGAAAAGCAAGGGGAACTAAGGTCACGAGTCAACGGGACAGCATGTATACCTGGAACCTTGGGACAATGAAGAAGTGGAGTCCATGCTCTTGGTGATGGAGTTATTCCTGTTAGTGAGACACACACACCCTCCTCTTAGAATGGAAATGGAACATTCACACACAAAAGCACACTTTTCCACAGGCAAACGTAGATACACACATGTTCACGCAACCACATTCACACCGATGGATTACTACTCTTAGGGCGAGTTCAAGCACGAGACACCAAACACCTGAGGGGAGGGAGGGGGGCTTCAGATGTACTGCATGGCAATAACTGTATCCTGACTTACCTGATCATAGACGATTTCTCCCAAGGTCTTCTCATGGTGTCTGAGAAGGACAATGTAAAAAATATGAACTGATAACATTCGGTTTGTGTATTACATAAAATTAATGTCAGAATGAATGTAGGTGGCACACTAGAGATAAAAATGTTCTCACCGCTTTGACCTTGAGGCTCTGAATCATCCTGTACAGAAAAGACCGAGACCTTTTGTTAAGAGTGAGTCATCCATTTGTAACTATCCATCAACCGACCACGTTTAAAAAGACACTTGTCTTATATTCTTTGCAGCATTAAACAGATTGTGACAAAAAGCCGACCCTTACATTATCTTGTGTCTTCACAGGTGGCTTCTCTCCAGTGTCTGTCACTTTTCTCCTGATTTAAAGAGGAATCACTTTCAGTTACACCAATTACAGTTAAACAGACTGAGCATTTTACTGCTATTACAGCTGCACAATAGAAAGCAGAAAGAGCAGAATATATAAAGCAGAATATAAATAATAATAAATAATAAATAATAAATATAAAGCAGAAGAAAATGAAGACCAAAGCTAATTCATATAAAGCAGAGGAGTAAGCCTAATTGTTGAGTGTGAATTTATATTTTATCCGACCGGAAATTTGTGATTTCACCCACCTTCGTGCTAAGATGGCACTCATTTCACCCATCAGACCGCCGCCGCCGCCTCCTCCACCTCCCCCTCCTCCTCCTCCTCCACCGGCTCCTGGGGCCCCGGCTCCAGCCTTATTCTGGGACAGCTCTGATTCTGCAGACAAGCACAGAGAGGAAAAGGTTAATTAAGACTGCAAAAAAATAAAAACTAGCAGTTGGCATCCTCTGATACAGAAGAACCATTTAAAATACACACTTTTAATTAAACCAGTGTCATTTTCACATCCCACTTAAAATCTGCACTGTGAAATTAATTCAACACTATTCCACCCCCCCATCAATACAACCCGAAAAGGAGGCTGTAAGCAAAGCTTCCTCTCCTCACACTCCTCCTCCTCATGCCTGATATACACATGTGAAAACACACACACACACACACACGGAGACACATACACGCATTCATTTGCTCCCAGCCAGGCGTGCAAATCTTGTGCGTGGCCCTCGGTCAGAGGGTCAAAGGGCACTGAGAACACTGGCCTTTAACCCTGCTTGACCCAATTTACTGGTATAATGACCATGCCACGGTATCGACCCTGTGTCACCAAGGTGTGGAGCCTCATATTAAATGGTTGCACCAAGCTTTCTGAAAATCCATACACAGGTTGATCACAAGTCATGTAAAAGAAATCTGTTGTGCCAAACAGTTAATGCTGACGCCTGAGAAGCATGCTTCACATATGGAGAAAAATCACTTTGTGCCGTGTAACGAAAAAATTTGTCAAGGGGAAGATTGACGAGGACAGGAAGTGCTTGGCTAAACTATACATAAAAGCGCAGCGTCACACTTCATCTGCTGAGATACAGACTGCAGCGTACTGAGGGAGAAAAGGGCAGAAATGAAGAAAAGTTTTTGAAGAAGACACAAAATAACAGGGGAAAGAGAAACACAGAAACTAGGAAAGAGGTAATGGTGGGGCTAAGTGTTGCATCGTGTGCTTTGGGTTTTGCCTCGAAGGAAGCCCAAAGCACAGAGAAAGTGTGTGTGAAGATGTTATGGATCCTTCGCTAAAATCAGTCTGCTTATCCTCCCATCTCCTCTCCACTCAAAACACACCACTGCCTTGCTCCGTGTGGATGGTGAACGGATCAGTGTGCTGCACAAAGAGACAGAGCGTTAAGGTGCTGGGACAACTAGGTGTCTGAATGTAGAGACAGGTAGAAAACAGCTCTGACAAGCTGAGTTACATGTGTCAGAGAAGGGAGAGGCTGTGATAGACGACACAGTCGACGGCACAGAGGCTGCAGATCACAACACTCCAGTCAGTCTGCTGCTCACCTGAGAGAAAAGAGAAGCACCGCGCAGACCTCCAAATCATCCACAACCCTATTTTCCCTTTTTAGCTCATCTTTCTCTGCTACTTAAACAGTTTTTATCTTGTGTTGCTGAATGTTTTCATCTCTCTGCTTTCACAAACCCTGAGGCGGCAGTGACACAGTGTTAACAAAAACACAGCCAGGGAAGAGAACGCCAAGCCAGGCCAGGCCAGACCAGGCAGCTAGGACAACCGAGAGAGGCAGGCAGGCAGACATGGAGGCAGTGAGGCAGGCTTGCCCCCCAGCCTGTCTGGGCTGCGACCACTGGAATGGAAAAGTGGGGGGATTTGGTAAAAGGTCAGGCAGCCAAGGCTCCCGTTGTTCCCTGTTTCGTTTGTCGCTCTGACTGCTGGTCTCTGTGAATTTCTCCATCTCCCTCCCAAGGACTGGAGACATGGTGTAAGTGGGGGCTGAGGGCGCAGGGGGTGAGGGAGAAATGAGGATTTAGAGCAGTGTTGGTGGTGGCGGTGACAAGATCTAACATTTGCCAGAGGGTCCAGTCATACACCTCAGCATGGCGGATCCCCACCCCCTGCCAGTATCACCCCCCTCCTCCTCCTCCTCC